ATCCTCAGGTTCCAATTCCGGTCACCACTCAGTCAATGCTGTTCTGTGACACTGAATTTACCAAGTTCACATTTTCCTCTTATTTCAAATTATTCCATCCTCTTTTTGCATAAGAACCACATGGTGCCTTAGTCAGTGGACTAATCCGCAAATTTCCTTAGGTATCATCCCCTCCTCTTCTAGCCAGCTTGCAGTCTTGTCAATGCCATCTCTAAGCTGTATCCGCCTACTTCCCCCATCTTCGTCACTGCTGCTGTGTGGCTCCTGCATGGACGCAGACAGTGGAACCTCAGCATTGTCAGCTGATGGTACCAGGCCAGAAACGCCATCTGCCCCGGGCACTAGTGGGAGGTCCTTTGGCTACTGGGGCTGAGCTACTGCTCACAGTCTGGGGAGAGAGTTGAGCCCACTAGCTGGAGCGAATCCCACCTATTCTGCTTTCTGACTCCTCGCGGGCTCCCCTCGCCGTGTGGGCTCTGTGCTTGCCACCTCCAGCCCTACTGGGTGTCAAACCAACACTTGGGTTATGGGGGCTTCCTCTTACATTGTGAACCTTCAAACCATGAGCCAAAAAACCTTACTTGTGCCATACTCACTGCCCCTCCTTTTTAAAAAAATTTTTTTTTTCTTAAATTTTTATCGGAAAGTCAGATTTACAGAGAAGGAGAGACAGAGAGAAAGATCTTAAACCTGCTGGTTCACTCCGCAAGTGGCCGCAATGGTGGACCTGAACCATCCAAAGTCAGGAGCTTCTTCCGGGTCTCCTATGTGAATACAGGGTCCCAAAGCTTTGAGCCATCCTCAACTGCCCAGGCCACAAACAGGGAGCTGGATGAGAAGTAGAACAGCCAGGACACCGGTCCATACAGGATCCCAGAGAACGCAAGGTGAGGATTTAGCCGCTAGGCTATCACACCAGACCCTCCCCCTTTTCTTTAGTTATGAAAAGCTGACTGCTACAATCACCATCCACTCAGTCCAAGACATCTCTTGTGTCCTGGATTCCAGCAACATCCTTTCTGCCCCCACTGGCTTCTCCACCTCCAGTCAGCTGCTAGTCTCAAAGTAAAAAACCAGAACACATTATTATGCTTTAAACCCTTTGTGGCTTTTTATTCCTAGATTAAAATTCATTCTCCTTCTAGTGAACAGCCTTTGTTACCACTCACCTGCACCACTTTCCCTTCTCTCCTGAACCCTGTATCCAGGAACCTCTCTCATTTCTGCCTGCAAAGCGATTCACTTACAGACCTGAGACCACATGGTGCCGTATCCATAGCAGGCAATATTTTACCAAGAGTGGCAAAGCGGAGGAAAATAGGAGACAAAGACAGAACAAATATTTTATGGCAAATCAATTCATTTTCTTCTTGTAGAGGCTTCAGGCAGACATACTCTGAAAGGGTTTCAAACAATTAAAATTCTTACTTTAAAGGCTGACGAAACACAAGTTGCATATTGAAAAGAATATATTGGATGGCCATTTCCCCAGTATGCAATGGATGCCCTGAGCATCTGCCAGCATTTATGACTGCCATGTGGCACGTAGAATTTCATCTCCTTCTGGTCAAAGGACAAGGCTCCTGAGAGGTCTAAATGCGATTTTTAAGAGTTCTTGGTCAGTATAGCGATTTGCATTCCAAGGAAGTCATTCCTACGCATTCCTTTCAGAATTTCAACTAGAGCTATAAAATATAACCACACAAAAATGAGAAAGCTGCAAGTGTAGGTGCTGAACCATATTGAGGTTGCTAACTTAATCATGTCTGAGCCATCAAATAAATGTTCCATAGTATTTCGTTCATAACACATTTCAAGCTATATCCAGGTTAGTTTGGGTTAATAGTGTCTTTAATTATTCTAATGAGGCTCACTTGCTGGCCAAGCTATCTCCTTTTTCCATTTAGTCTCATCCTACTGGCTGTTTTTAATAGCCTAAAAAATGCTGCCATGGGAGTTAGTTTTAGCTAGGGAGGAGGGGAATTCAAGCACTACTCTGACACTTTCACTGATTTCACTGATTTCACAGATTTAAGAGTGCCTACTGTGCTCCAGGCAGTATGGAGAGAAAGCATCAACAGGCCGGAGTCCTCGGAACAGTCAATGATGTGCTTCCTTGTTAAGTTAACACGTGCAGTATAGCAGTAGGACTGATCGGGACAGGAGTCAAAGCAATGTAACACGTTCATGTCCACGGAGGACCTCCAGCAGGGATGCCTTGAAGCCGAGACCCGGGAAAAGTCAGAGCAAGCAGGTGTCCTGAACTGAGAGCCTGAGCAGGACTGGCATGGAGGGCAGTGTCCTTGAGGAGTATCCCAGACACACCACTCTCCATCGGATGGTTGCATGGTTGAAGCAGGCTCATGGGCCTCCCTTTGCCCAAGTGCCCATTCTGCCAGCCTCCTCTTCACGCCCTGCAGCTCACCTATGCAGTGCACTTAGGATGTTTTCAGACTTAAATTGCAAAAGGGTAAATGCTCAAGTGGCAACGCCTTACCCCCCAAAAGGTAACGATGTGCTTTTTATTTTGCTGAGGATAACCTCAAATAAAGAGAAAGAATGCTATCAAGTGAATTGTGCAACTAATGGGACTATAGTTCAAGAAAATGCATTTTCTTTAATGCCCTGTAGTGCTGGTGGTGGTTCTTAGTTTGAGACACGAACAGATACTGACAAAGTTCTCATCCACTGGTTCGCATCCCATATCCCCACAACAGCCGCCTCTGCTGCCTGCCCAGCAAAAATCTCCCAAGGCAAAGACATACAGAAACAGACTGAGGCAGAAAGAACCTGCAGAGAACAAAGAATCTCAGCAAATTATTCTGCCCTGCACAGGAGTGTGCAGCCATGTCAATTACTCATCATTCACAAGTCAATTAAGAAAATATCCCTAGGAAAAGGACAAGGAAGGGCGGCCAAACGCCCCATGACAACCACAACGCTGGCAACAAGTCTTATACTTCGGTGACAGTGAACACAGGGCTAGGAAACCTGGCCAGACAAAGCACTCCCCGCTCCAAGCTCACCCAGGCTGGGAAGGGAGGGGAGCAGGCTCCGTTGTGGCCAGCTCACGCACGAACCCGGAGTGAACTCGCCCGGCTTCAGAGCAAATCTTTCTGGTGTGTGAACCCTTCAACCTCCGCCACCGGCAGGCTTTTTTCCTTTTTCACCTGAAACCCCCAGGAAACATCTCAGAAACTTCAAAAGTTACTCACTCAGACACTGCTTTGGTGGCTGGAATAGAAATGTTCAAGAGTCTGGACATCTTCAACGGGGATCTTTAAAAGACTTCAAAGAAAGAGCTCTGTGGCTTGGAGAATTTCCCGCATAAGTCATAAAAAGAAATAATAGCCCCTTTCCCTACCTCTCTGATCGCATCCAAGGAGAGCAGCCTATCAAGCAGGCCTGTGAGACTGACAGTGAACATACCCACAAGCCTCAGCTCCACCCGGAAGCACGGGAAAGGGCTTGGGTAACCACCAGCTCCAGCAAGCCTCTGCCCAACAGCTCATCTGACAATATGCAGGTGCTGCCACTGCGAAGGCAGGCTGTTCTTGGGGGAGACTGGGAGAGGGAATAAATGACCACTTTCCTTGGAAGAGTACTAAATCAGTTTTCAGAAAGAAAATGGAAGAGCAGGAGAGGAGTGGGGAGAGGGTATTTAGCACAGCAATTAAGACAGCTGGGTTTAATCCTCAGCTCCAGCTCATGATTCCTGCTGATACAGACCCTGGGGGCAGTGCTGATGGCTCAAGTGATTGGGTTCTTGTTAACCACAAGAAAAAGAAAATAACAGCTCAGCTGTAGACATTCTGAGTGACACGGCCGGGGGGTCTCGGGGCAGTGGGAGGATTCATCAGGTGATTTTAATCTGCACCCAGCACCGAAAAATCACTAGGCCCAAGACGTCCGAGTACAAGGGCAGAAGCCACGTATCCTCCAAAATTTTCAAAGTTTTTGCACCAACATAAACGTCCCTTCTAATTCCACTTATCATGAACTTATGAAAGTGCTGTAATACCAGACACACGGTGAAAAGGGAAGAGAGAGAGACAAAGATAGAAACTAAAGTACAACTTAAAAGGAGTCTGACAATGACACCTTTTGTCCATCGCGAGTGTGTCGTTGCTACAGAAAATTAAGAACAATTTAACTGAAATGAAGTAAACTGCCTTAAGAAGAACGTCATTCAAACAACAGAGTTCTCAGCTGTCCCCTGTGGCTAGGGAGACTTGTCAACACAGCTCAGAGACGCAGGAGAACACACCCACATTACCAAGGGGGCAGTCATTTTAATGCAGAAATCCAGTTAACATAAAGAGACAGAATTCGAACGACAGGACTTCAAACCATACTGCATAGCGTCACGGATTAACTCTTGCACGGTTGATCTGTTTTTCTTATTATTTTGATTCCAGTACAAAGACAGAGGAGAAGTTTCAATTAAAAAAATAAGAAGGCAACAGAAGAAATCTTCCTGTGACAAGGACCATCCACAAACGCACAGACACTGGATGCTGACACAAGACCCCGTTAGGACAAGTTCCAAAGATGCTGCGTTAAAATTCAACAAGCATGGTACAACGACAAGAAAATTATACTTTGCTTTGTTCTGAATCCTTTTGCAAATAGAAATGATTCTCAGGTAACTGTTATGTACAAACTTTCTGAAACAAGTGGAAGTCATACAAATCTTTCCGGTGCGGTTTCCTTTTTTTTTTTTTTTTGCCCCCCTCTGCTCAGGAATATTCCATGGCACTGCTCTTGATTTCTCACCGTCAAAACATAAATAGTCATTAAAGCACTTGAATCCACAGTAGTCTTGTCCTTAGCAAAGTTGGGAGGTTTTGCAAGATTTTTATAGCAGTCATCCAGAAAGGCCTGGCAGGCGGCCCTTGAGGATGGGGAAGACAGCTTTGTGCTTGGAATCCCACAGGAACTCCTCGCTGCTCCCTGCAGGAGCTGCCCGCACGCTGGTGGGGCCTTGTGTGCAGACTCAGTCATACCGTGGAGTCCCTGCCAGACTTTAGATGTGCGATCTTGGTCCGGCTGAGAAACGGATAAGCGATGCAGAGACCTCCTGCTGCCACGATGAAGCCCAAACTGCACCAGGCGCAGAAGATAGACCAGCTGTAGCCATGTTCTACGTCATCAGGCAGGCTATAAATCAGCTTGGGGAGCCGGTTCAAATCGTACGAGATACTGGCAGCGTACGTGCAGAGGGAAATGGTGCAAAATATCCCTGGAAGAATACAAAGAGAACAGAATGATCACTTACAGTTTTTCCCTCCTACAAGGCAAATAAATGCCAGACAGGCCTTTGTGAACACTGGAGCAGCGAGCAAGGCAAGCATTCCCAATTCATAAAGGATCCAGAATCCTTTCAGCTGAACGAATGCATTAAACATCGGCAACATTTCTATGTGCTAGACCCTAGGCGAAGGACCAGAGAAACAGAAATGAAAAAGATGAGGTTTTTGATATCTCGAATTATTCTGAATTATCTGCCTTGAACTCTCAGGGATGTTTGAGTACATTTTTTTTAAACTAAAAGCAATTTAATAAGGATTCTAACTATTTCAAGAAATAATATTCTGTAATTATTCAAACCTAATAGTTTCTATTTCTTTTTGCTCTATGCCTGATTTGGCACATTTCATGTAGTTACAATTATTACAAAAACTGATTTCTTTTTTAGTATTCTCATAAATTTATCACTTTGCTTATAAATAATCTTTTAAATGAACTCTTGTTACAAATTTTTACTCTTTTTTATTATTATTATTTTTTTTTGAAATTCAGATATACAGAGAGGAGGGGAGACAGAGAGGAAGATCTTCCATTGATGATTCACTCCCAAAGTGGCCACAATGGCCAGAGCTGAGCCAATCTGAAGCCAGGAGCTAGGAGCCTCTTCCAGGTCTCCCACACGGGTGCAAGGTTCCAAGGCTTTTGGGCCATCCTTGACTGCTTTCCCAGGCCACAGGCAGGGAGCTGGATGGGAAGTGGGGCTGCCAGAATTAGAACAGGGTGAGGACTTTTAGCTGCTAGGCTACCACACCAGAACCAAGCTGCTACATTAAAAAAAAAAAAAAGATACAGCATCTGACAGATATTCAAGTCTCAACAAATATATTTTAAAAAATTTTTTATTTTCTCTTTAATATTGCTTACAAGGGATACACCTCCATGTGGGCCTCTGATTAAGGTGGTAAGGGTCAGCTTTGGAGGAAGGTGGGTGGGACAAATGTTTCAGGGTTTTATTCCTCCTGAGCCCACAGGGGAGTCAGTGGATAGAGCTGCTCTTTGCTGTTAAACTACATCAGCACCCAGGGATGGGGGTGATTTCTAACAATGTCTTAGTGACCCCAACGTGGGGAATAATGTTATGAGAGTATTACTTCATTTTTTGTTTGTCTGTTTGTTTCCCGATAGTTCTGAGAAGCTGTTGGTTTCATCGTCCCAGGGTTGAGAAAATCTTTCCAGGGTCTGTTGGTTGACAGCGTCCACCTTAGTGCATTCACAGACCCGAGAGCATGCTGCAAAGCTTGGCCAGGAGAATTGTCCAACCTGTTCCGCTTTCCAGCCTCTGATGAGGCAGTTGATGTCCCCTGCAGGCCTAGATACACTCGCTGTCATATCCCCCATGTGCACCTGGACATGCTAGCAGTCCACTGCACAGGTACTAGCAACTGAGGAGGCCCAGTCCAGATAAATGCACTCTAAGGGTCAGATCACACATCCTGTGATATTTCCCTGTAGCCACGGTCTGAGTCCAGTGTCTAGTTGGGGAATCCCTCAAGAAACCTCACCTGGGGTGACCTCACACTCGACTGTCGTGTGCATCAGCCAATGCAGGGTCAGATTCAGTCTGTCACCTGCACCAGCCAACGCACGTACTGGTGGCTATAGCTGTCTGGTCAATGAACCAACAAGTGCTGCAGCCCAGCCCAGCCGCCCACCACAGACCCAGTCCTCACACACACCAGTGGGTGTTGCAGCCTAGCATGACAACCCGTCCTAACCCCTATCAGACCCACCCCAGTCCTAGTCTTTGTACATGCCTCTATGGCCTAGCCTGGCCCAGCCCACAGCCTATCCAGCTCTCATGCACACCCCAATCTTAGCTCAGCCCAATCTGCCCCCAGACCCAGTCCTCATGTATACCAATAGGTGCCTCCACCTATCCAGTCTGGCCTGCACCCAGCCCTGGTTCTTGTGCTCACCAGCAATAAGCACAGACTAGCAGGGGAGTACCCACAGTTCTGCCAACCCTGTCCCCAGCCTCGTATCTTATGTTTGTCAAAGGGTACTGTAGGCAAGCCTGACATGACTCACATCCAGTCCTGACATTTGCAAGTTGGTGTTGTGGCCTAGCTTGGCTAGCCAACACCCATTCTGTCTCTCATAAAAGTTAGCAGGTGCAGCATCCTAGCCTAGCCTGAATGCCTCCAGACCCAGCTCTCACACTCACCAGTGCAAACAGCAGTCCAACAAGGCAGTTCCCAAAGTTTCCCTAACAGGTTAACTCCCAGCCTTGGGTCTTGTGTGCCAGCAGGTGTTGCCATTTAGTCTGAGAAGGCCTGCCTCCAGTGTTGGCATTCACCAGCAGGTGCTACAGCCTGGCTTAGCCTAGTCTGTTTCCAATCCCAGCTCTCGCTGGCAGGTGCAGCAGCCTAGCCCAGCCAGGCCCACCCTCAGTCCGCACTGACGGGCATTTCAGTCCAACTTTCTCTGGCCTCTACCCTGTCCTGGCTCTCACTCATGCTAGTGTGTGCTGTGGACTGGCCCTGCCCAGCCCACCCCAGACGCAACTCATACATATGCCAACAGTGTTATAGCCTAGTCTAGTCTAGCCTGCTCTCAGCCCCAGCTCTCATGTTCACCAATGGAAGTTATGCCTAGTTGGGCAGTTCCCCTATTTCTCCTACCAGACCCACCCCCAGCAACAGATCTTGTGTGTGCAGGTGGGTGCCGCTACCCATACTGACCATCCCCTAATCTTGGCACTTGCTGGCAGGTAGTGATGCCTAGCCTGAATGACCCACACTCATTCCAGCTCTCACTGGGTACCACAGCCTTTTTTTTTTTTGAATAGGAGATGAAGAATTAAGCAATATAACTTGAGTCTGGAAAGAATTTGGGACTGATGTAAAATTGCCAAGAAGGAGATCATATCAACAGTTCAAAGTGCTGGCAATTTGAGTGACATAAGAAAAAGCAGCAAGAACCAAATTTCACTTTTCTGTCTACATTTATTTATTCTAAAATATTAAAATCAGAACCTTGACAAAAACCCTCCCTAAGCCTCAAACACAGCAATCACTTCAAGTGATGTTCTAAAGGTGTACATGTTTCTTTTCTACCATATTGTATATTCCTTTTTGGATAGCATGGGATCAGAATGAGACAGTTGCTGAACTGGAGCTGGGTAGTAAAAACAGACACTAGCACTCAGTCAAATATCAGAACCTTCAGATCTGTTGTTACGTGTCCTATGCAACTCTTCTTCATTTTCTGTGGGCAATGGAGGGAGCACCCATCTGCTAGGAGATTCCTTTGGCATCCTTAAGGACATAGGCCATACATCCAGTGAAGAGAGAGGTCCAGATTTTGGAACTGCAAGGTGACAGCTAGAAGTAGTAGGCCCTTTCCCTTTTGTTAACCTGCAGCTTTGGAGATCAAAAACACCAGCAGCAAAATTCAGGAGGAAAAAGAGATCACCTTATTGCCATTTTTTTTAAGTGCTAGAATCCTACTCCACTCAAATACTGTAAGGGCATATTGCCTGAATCCTTCTCCAAACGTGCAGTTACAAAATAATTGTCACCAATTAAAGGGATGTTTGATTTGAGATAATACAAGGTATTTCCTACACCTTGTCTAATTCTGTTTTTAAGATGTAAAGTGTATTGGATTTTTTTTAACAAGGATCAAATCTTCTGAATTCTCGCTTCACAAAGATATCACAAAGATACAGCAAAGATACCGTAACTTTGGGTTCTCCAAAAGAAAGATTAAACTGAAAAGCATTCTTTCATAAAAAAAAAAGAAAAAACCTCCACTGTTCTCCAACCTTGTAAATAACAAATGAATAAATGCTCTTACATCTACACAAATGCATTCACTGGCAACCAGAGACAGTGTTTGCAAATAACACTGGTAACAGAATAATGAACCCTGGTAACCGAGTAAAAGCCATTAGGAAAAACAGACCTCTCGTGTGTCAACAGGTAAAACATAACAGAAGACAGACACAGATAAAAGCCACTGCCTTACACAGATACCTCTCTGTACACGGCTCAGTGCCCCCCAAAGCAAGCATTTTTACAAACAACATTTTAATGACCTCTGAAAGCGGGAGTTCAAGCTTGGGCTTTTAAGCATCCTTTGATGTCTAAGTACATTACATTGAGAGGCAAACACTACATATACCCCAGCTCCTGCTCCACTCCTGATCGCCATGGAGCCTTCATTCTCTGAGTCTGAGTTTTGCCATCTGGATAAAAACAAGGGGCTTGGCTACCGAAGTCCCTGGCAGTGTTAAATCTCTGTGATCCCGTCAATCCAAAATAAAACGTGGAATATGACCACTTCCTAAAACTGCCTGATAAATTTAATAGTATTATGCAACTACAAAGTGGTTTTCCTTTCTGTACATACTCCCTTTGATCTTGCACTAAACGCTGATTACATTAGCGCTTCTCCCCCTGCCAACTCCATGAATCTGCTTTTGGCAAAATGAATCTTAGCATTACGCCACTGGTTCATACTGAACAGAAAAGGAATGTGAGAAACAATCTAATCTGAGAACGCCACCAAGATGAGGATTTCTCTCTGCCTTCAGTGTCACGAACAGTTGTGCCTGCCCCAGGCATTCGGTCGGTTCCTACCTCACAGACACTGGGAACTGTGGCACTAATAGAATTTATCTTTGTCCAAGCTGCCAGAGGGCTGAAGCTCCTCCCCCAAGCTCCATCTCTGCTAGTGAGCCACGGGATTTCAAGGCATGCTTACTGCTTTACTCTCAGGCTTAGGTCCCTCTTGCCTTACAGCTACGAGCTTCCCTTGGTCTTTTGTGTATTTATCTTTTCAAAATTTTATTTTCGATGATGTTTACATAATTAATTAGGGTGAGAAGGGCCAAGGACTAGGGAAAGGTGGGTGAGAGCATTGTTTCCAAATTTTCTTTTTCTCCTTCCTGTACCTGCGGGAGGTGGGAGATAAGGAGAGAAGCCACAC